GATTCCGTGAAGTCGAGCCACTGTAGCCCTTAGACAAGGTGAAAGACCACGAGGACCTTCACGGTCCGTGATCCTTCACATGGCCATGAAGTGGACCATAGTCGCGAGACCCAAAAATCAGCATCTATTGGACCAAGGTCCACGGTCGGCTCCATAGTCCGTGGTCCTTTGATGGCCCGTTAGAGGGGCCATGATCAGCCCCGACAGACTTTTAAGTCAGGGGTCGTTAGGTCTTTTTCGTATGTGTTGGACCCCTAAACTACATCGTTGGACCCCTAAACTACGTCGTTGGACAGCTAAACTACGTCGTTTAACCCCTAAACTACATAGTTTTTTTTTATATCAATTTTGGCCTAGTAAACTAATTAGAACCTAACCTAATAAATTATTAACCAAAAGTCATCAAACTTAGAGCAAAACAGAGAAGAAAGTTGACCAAGTTCTACTCCAAAAATGCAGCAGGTTTTCATCAGTTTCAGTCTCAAAATCGAAAGATTTCTTCGTGGAATTGGTCACTAGGTATGTGGGATTTCACTAGTGGGTTCATTTCGCCCATTAGGTCCCTAGATTTCAGTCAGAATCTTGATCCCCTTAATATTATCTAGACCTAAGGTTTCTTGAATGTTAGAAATTATTGGGTTTTAGGTGTTAGAATGCTCAAAATCAGATTATCATATTGTTCCTTAGTTTCTTGTATTATATTCAGAACCCTAGCTATGTAGTTCTTTTAGTTCATGAATTACACATGCTAGGTTAGTTATTTCAGATATACATGCTTCATTTTACGAATGTCACATTATCAGTTATAATTGTTGCACTCTTAGAGTTTGCATGTCAGTAATTGAGCTATCCAGTACTTCAGCATTCTAGTCATAATATTCCGTATATACATTCTAATTGGGAGTAGGCTTAGACCGAGTGGACTAGGGTTCAACATACCCGAATAGTCCCAGAACTCCTGCCCCCATAGGTTTATAAGTCCCCTCTATGGGAATTACATTTTAGTGATCACACCAGTCATGCCTCTATATATCTGGCAGGGTATATTGGGTCCACTCGATGGGACGTATACATCGGACTCCACATTTAGCTCATGTGGTTTTATGTCGATAATAAGTATCTTCCACAGTCCAGTCAGATTTTATTGCATTGACCATGTTATCAATTACAGTCAGATTTCAGTCTCAACAGGTTATAAACTTGGTCAATACATTCAGTTAGTTCATGTTCAGTATTTCCAGTATAGTATCATCTTCAGACTATATCATTGATTTACCACTTTGTTCAGTTATATGTTTTATTAAGCTTTATTCTATCGTGCATGCTCAATACATTTCAAGTACGGACACATACTTTGCACTACATCTTCTCATAATGTAGGTTTAGGTCCTCATCTTCTAGATCACACATAGATCGGTTCCCGATCTTCAGCTCAGCAGTATCAGTGGTGAGTCCTCATTCTCCAAGGATGACATGCATGTTTCTTTTGGTTTAAGTTTTTAGTTTCAGTTTTCGCTAGATTTAGTTGGGGCATGTCCTAGCACTTTGAGTCAGTTAAAAGATTATTTCAGACATAGTTAGTTTCAGCTCTAGCATTTGAGTTTGACCTTTCAGTTGTTGTTAAACTCTCAATTTTTATATATTCAGATAGTTATGGGTATTCCCCATCCTTGCATTTCAGTTTATCTTATGATTTAGCTTCCGCATAGTATTTCCTTACTTTGGTTTATTTAGTATGCTTATGATATACCGGCAGGGTTAGCTTGGGGTCACTCGTGATCTTAGGTCCCGTGCCCGCATCCTGTGGGTAGCTTCGGGGCATGACAATTTAGATGGTTTGCTGGCCAATATAATCTCCTCTAACAAATCAGGTTTTGTCGAGGGAATATGTATCATTAAAAATGTCTTGTTAACTCAGGAGATAGTAACAAACATCAGAAAAAGAGGTAAAGCTTCTAATGTAGTCTTAAAGTTAGACATGTCAAAGGCCTATGATAGAGTGTCATGGTTGTATCTGAGTAAAGTTTTGATGAATATGGGGTTCTCAGAAACTTTTAGTAACAAGATTTGGAGGTTGATTGATAATAAGTGGTATTCAATTCTTATTAATAAGCAAAGACAAGTATTTTTTTTTCAAGGAGATCCTCTCTTGCTTTATTCATTTTATTTTCTGAATTTCTCTCTAGGGCTTTGAATTCATTATTTGATAACTTCGAGTATATAGGGTATGGAATGCCAAAATGGAGTGCCCAAATTAATCATCAAGCTTATGCAGATGATACTATAATATTTTCATCTTTTGATAGGTCCTCTTTGGAAATGATTATGGCAGTGTTACATGAGTATTAGAAGTTTTCGGGGTAGCTCATAAATAAGGAAAAAAGTTCTGTTTATAAGTTTAGCAAGGTAGCAGAAGTTCAACTAAAAGAGGTGAAGAGATCACAGGAGTGGGAAAGGAAATTTTCCTTTCAAATATTTAGGCTATCCCAGTTTTCACTCCAGAAAGAAAAAGGTGTACTATGATGAATTGATAAAAAAAGTGAAGGACAAGTTACATAATTTGAAGGGTAGATTGTTATCATATGGGGGAAAGGCAGTAGTAATTATAATAGTGTCCTTAAAAGCATGGCAGTATATTTACTATCAAGTCTCTTTCCTACAAAATATACTATTGAGGAGATTCATAATGTTTTTGTGAGATTCTTTTGGAGTAACAAAGAAGAAGGCAGAAGAAGACATTGGGCTTCTTGGAAGAGCTTATGTTTGCCTAAGGAGGAAGGAGTTTTAAACTTCAGAGATTTATTTGATGCTTCGGTAAAACCTCGATCTTAGAGAGAGATAATTTTAGAAAGGACTAAATTAGAAATAACCAATTTGAGATTTGTGCAAGTAAGTCTTCAATTGTGAGTTTTGGGTCAACATTGAATGACCATACCTTTCGGTACATGATGAGTTATGAGTCCAATGAGATATCAAATGAAATATCTTTGAGTCCTCTTTCCAACACCACCAATTTTGCTAAATTCTGAGTTCATATGAAGGAGATATGCCCGTTTGAGTACAACCTGTCTAGTTAAGACATTTAATCCGTTTTAAGGAGGGGTATTTTGGTATTTTCCATACCCCGACTAGTCCCACACATTTTTTCACCAAATAAGGGGTCAAAGCTGATTAAAATCAATCAACTCTAAAGTATATAATCATTTGCAAAGTTAGGGCAAAGTACAAGAGGAAAAAAGGGAGAAAAGCTTCAAGCATTCAAGAGTTCTTGTGATCTTTGAGGAATTTCGCCAAGGATTTGATCCTTTAGAGGTATGTTAGTTTTCATAGTGATGGGTTAGTTCAACCTCACGTCAATCATGAGTTTCTTTTGCGAATATATCCATAAATATCCATAAATACTTTTTAGATGATTTCTTATTGCTTTTACATAAAGCTTAGTGGATCCACTTAGTTGAGGATGTCTTATACTCCGACAAGGTATAAGACAGTTCTGACAGCGTGGGCGAGATGTTGTATCATCACATACATCAAAGTGATGGTTGTCAGTTTGAGAATCTCCCAAATAAGAGTAAAGAGTTTACTATTGTATTTTGATATACATTGAGTTCTTATCTATTGTTTTAAAAGCTTTATTTATACTGCATCTTTGTTGTTGCTTTTATATTGAGTTGAGTTGAGTATCCTTGAGTTTAGTTGAGTATTCTTGAGTTGATTTGAGTTGAGATGATATGAGGTGAGTATGTTCCTTTATATCAGTTCAAGCTTATGTCTATGTTTTAGAGTTCCCCTTGTATCCTCATACATTTGATGTACTGACGCCATTTGGTCAGCATCTTTCATGATGCGGATACAGCTAATTAGGGTCATCAACAGGTGCTTCGTTGATACCACTTGCAGTTCCAGAGTTGCTTCGGTGAGTCTCCTTGCTTCGGAGGGTTCCAAATTTACTTTTAGTCATATTTGGATGTCTTGGGTAGAGGTTTCATAGAAAGTAGTGTTTTGAGATGTCTTTTCCATTTTCAATTATTAATGTTCAAGGCTTGAGTTGCCTCTTTTGGCCACTTGAATATTTTTCTAAATATTCTGAGTTATTAACTTTGAGACTTTTGAGAAACCTTTACTTTTGATGTCATATATTGTTGAGTGGGGCTTCCGCTGATTATTGAGCCAAGGCAAGGGTTTGCTTGGGAACCAATACTGGTTCTCGAGTGCCACTCACGTCCATGTTGTAGGCTCAGGGTGTGACAGTTACAAAGGCTTTATTTGCAAAGTTGTGGTAAAAATTTATAACTACTAGGTCTATGTGGTCTAATTTCATGTAAAAAAATATTGCAAGAAGTTTGGTCCAACTTTAGTGCAATGGAGGGGAGGTTCTCAATTATGGAAAAAAAATGTTAGAAGCAAGAGACAATATAGAACAAGAGATTTGGTGAGAGCCTCGAAATGGATGTTTTGGTGCTTGGGTTTGATAATTGGACTAGACTTGGTCCACTTATACACATTGTACCTAAGGATTTTCCCATAGATGATAGAAAATAAAATATGAATTATTTCATGGGATAGAATGTTGAGTTGATGCATCCAAAAATACCTGAAGAGATTGTGGAACATGTAACTTCTAATATTGTCATTCCTACAAACTCTAACTTATGATATAGGCCTTGGTGAATGGAAACTGGTAGTGGGAAGTTTTTGGTTAAGAGCGTATGGGAATTAATAAGGAATAGCCAACATAACAATCTTTTCTTTAAGAACTTATGGAGTAAAGGTCTGCCTTTCAAGATATCTTTTTTCCTTTGGAGATTGTGGGGACGGAAGATTCCAGTAGATGAATCTCTTTCTAAATGTGGTGTAGCTATTGCTTCTAGATGCATTTCTTTTGATTGTCCATCAGAAGAAATTACAAATCATCTTTTTCTAACTGGATCTTTTGCAAGACGTATCAGGTAAATTTTCTACTCAGCAGTGGGTTTGCAAGGTCCATTTGTGCGGATTAATCAAACAATTGCCCTGTGTTGATCAACTGATGGACCACCGAAAACCAAACCTATTCTCCAAGCTGTCCCTGCCATCATATGATGGAAAATCTGGAAATGGATAAATTCCATTATTTATGGGGAAATGATGTCCAGATACAAGGTTATTCGTGAGATCAATTGGAATATTCATATGATGTCTAAGGGTTTGTATTTCGCAGCAAAATTTAGTGTTGCCACAAATTATTTTTTTTATCAACAACACTAGTTGTTGCAAAAACTTAACAAAAAATTAGTTAGTAATTTGTAGGGAAGGCTTTTAGCAACAAAAAATTTTGTTGCAAGAGATCATATAGTTTCAATACACTTTTAGCTATAATTTGTGAGTGGTTTCTACCTACACAACACACATTTCTTTTACAAAATTTACACAAATATTTAAATTAAGAATTATATAAATTTGCAAAGGTCGATACATAAGTTTGATGCACTAGATATATTTACTACTTCTAAGAAATTAAATACTTCTACATGTTTGTACTGGTAAGAAAATTAATAAGGTCATTAATAATATATATTCTAATAATCTAGTAATTTCTGAATAATCATCTTCCAGTAATACTTGTCTTGAAGTAGCAGTGTTGAATTATGCATGTTCATCCTGCAAATAAAAGATAAATATAGTTATATATATCTTGACAAAGTTATAAAATACACAAATATAAACTTAAAAATCAGAGAGAATCGCATGTTAATACAATCTACTAAGTACGCCCCAACTCTCTTTGATCTACCGGTAGATCTCCTTATTTCATTTACACTTGAGAAAAAAGTTTAATGATAATATTTTGGGCAAAATATGATTATAGTGTTTACATACTTTTCATTTGTAGTGTTGCTAGAATTTTATTATACTTGAAGATTAATATCCTTTCAACATTACTTCTTTTCTGTAGTATTTAGTTTGATGTTTTTTTACTAGTTCTCTATATTTTAATCAGTGTCAACACAGAGTTCCTCTTCTCCAAGCCTCCAACTATGTTAACACCCCAGAAGTCTAGTAAGGCTGGGAAACGTGATTATTTGATTAATACTGTTGCAGCTTTAGTACTAAAAGTTCTTTGATTTATGTATGTCCAACACAATCTTAGCACACAAACATGTTTTTCCTTAATGGTTTGTGTGTTTCACTTTAGATAACACTATATTTCCATTAAGGTTACTTGGATGTGAAAACCAAGAGATTTGCAATATTCACAGGAAAAGTAGGATAAACAGTCATTTGGGAGGCAAGCAGTGCAAGACATTATGGATTAAGATGTTTATGTAAGCTTTGGTACATAAAAAATTAGGTCCTATGAGTAAATGAATTGTTTGTGACGTCTTAGACAATTGATATAGTATAACTTTCAGTTCTCACACCAGAATATCAAGTGTTAATGTGATCTAAGAGAACCATAAATCACAATCCATTCAAAAAACAATGCCACCAAGCCATGACATAAATTTTCTAGCCTTCTCCATCACCACCACCTCTACTAAGCATAATCACATCAACTTCGACTATATATGGAAACCATTAATAACATTTTGTATACTGAACTGCATTAAGAAACAAGAAAAAATAGAACAAACGCATTGTAGAAGACTACAAAATACTAATTCTAGGTTTGCTTGAACCAATTACCTGGAAAAGCAATCTAAATTTGAAGGAATTAGCAGAAATGAAAAAAAGGCTCCAACAATCTCAATATTAAGCATGTATTGACAAACACATTTCTCAAAACTAAAACTTCATTCAACAGAACATGTTGAAACTTTGAAGTATAATCATCTGGTTACAAATTATTCCACATCTCAGTTACTTATTTATTTATTTTTTGAAAAAAATCAAGAACGAAAGAGAAGCATCAATTACCCCAAAAGTTAGCAGATAAGCTAATAACTTACAAAACTAGAGCAGTTAGCCTCTTTTGATTAACATCTTATTGCATTACTACGTAGACTCTATCTTGCCCAGTACTACAACAGTACTCCACTTGATATTAAATATATAATTCATGCTAAACAAGAGATATTTAGGTAACATACCTCACTTGATTTCCTTTTCTCCAGTTCTATGATTTTTTTCTCAAGTGATGATTTTTCACTCAGAAGCTTCCTCTTTGTTTCTTATGCAGTACGCAACATAGCACGAGCTTTCACCTCTTATTGGATCTTTTGACCTGCAAGTGAAAGTCACATATTTGTGTTTTGTAGCTGACTAATCTGGATAAGAAACAAAGGTCAAATATAAATTTATAGCTTTACCTGATTATTTGCTTCAACCAATTCTTTCGAAATATTTTTCTTCAAACCTTGAGAACTCAACTTTGAAAGCTACATGTCTAAGTTTCTCTTCTCCATTTGGGAAACCTGTGATGAATGGAGTAATAAAATGAGATGTTTGACTTCTTCATAAATTAAAATGAATCGCATTTAACAAATACCTTAAGCTCTGCATCTTTTTCATCGCACAAAGATCTGAATTTATCACAATCATATGCGGCCATTTCTAAATTTTGCTTCTCAAAAGTCAAGTTATCTTTCAAGTTGTCCAATTCTTTTTTCATATCTGATTCTTGTGTTTGCTTTCCATGAAAATCTTCCAGCAATTGTCATGAATATAAAGACCATAAGCTCGAAGAAAATAGGTATCTAAAACACATTTCTTACATATTGTGTTTTTCTGTTGTAATTAAAATGATAGATGAATGCATAATGGGTAGAGCTAGGTGTCATATACATTTCACCGGAATCACCTCAAACAGAAAGCTAACAAATTGATCGTCCAACAAACTAACAGCATATCTTTGGTAATCAATTAGCAACATCAACAATATCACTAGTTCAATATGTAATAATAATAATACTAATGACTATTAGATGTACTCAATAGAATACATCACACACTTTGATCCCTTGTATATGCAGGTTGCGTTAAATACTCATTCAAATAAAAGTTGCACCAATACCTACTAAATAATCCTAGTAGTGAACTTTACTAAAAAAATTTAGGAATTTTACTTACCCAGTTGTCATTCATTAGACTTGTAGAGCTTATCTCATTTGAACTAGTTGAATTGGTAATTATATTGAGAATTGTATCGGGGGGGGCATTCTGTTATATATTGTACAAGTAAATAACTTAGTATGTCGTATAAGGAAGTATAGAATGAGCAAGTGGCGAAGATGTACAATGAGAGTGAAAATAATTAGTAATGTAGAATTTACTAGCTTAGCTGTCATGACCCAAGAGCACCACCTAGTCGTAACCGGCATACTCGACCTCTCAGAGGTCTAATACAAGCCTCTTAGCATTCATTCATCGCATAAAACTAAAAACCATAATGAATTAAAAACTTTCTTTACAAAGAAGACTTTCATTAAAAAAGTAAGCGGAAGACTTCTATACTTTATACACTTATGTCTCAAACCATCTAATACTTTGAATACAACATTGGGATTAAGCCCATACAAAACTTAAGCAAATACTAGAAAGACATAAAAAAAAGGACATGTAGGGTATTGTCCTCGAATCTATGAGGACTCACCAAGTCTTCATCTTCAACACTTAGAAACCTATCAAGTAGCCATGACATGTCACCATCTCCAAATCACTACACTTTAGTCAAAAAGGGAAAAAAAGGGGTTAGCACAATTAAGTACTAAGTATGAAGACCATGCAAAAAAACATGCACAACGGACATTTACAAGGAATGTATGCTTTCATATCATTTTGATAAAACCTTCACTTCATAAGTATAAGAGACATAAAACAAGTCAACATTCACATATAAGGCCATAGCCAACCATACACATACTCAACACATGTCCATATACAACCTATGTTTAACTTTAAAAGAACACATGTCATTTCATTACCATAAGACCTCTACCTAATATAACCTTAAGACACACTTGAGTGAGACAAGAAGTGGCCGCCCATACAACCTCTTCAAGCACACTAAAGTGTTCCTCAAGATTACCTTAGATAAGGGCATCTCCTTTACAATATAACATCAATAGACCAACTTTATTTAAGGAACCATTTAGGAGACATTCTAGCACATAGGGGGACTTTCATTTAATAGTCGTTAGACTTAGGGACTCACTTTAGTATCTTCAAAGCCTACTCGTGCCATGTGTAGATAGTATCCCATACCACTACCTACACGTTGTAGAACCTATCCAATAACTAGAGTGCACATCCCACATGATGGGAATAGGCATAACCGACATAGACCATACTAGCTAGGCATGGAATCCGGAGTCTATCCTACTCCGTGGAGGTTGTTCTACTTGCCAAGGGTAGAACTAGTAAGCAACCCATGTAGGCACATGGTTTACGGGATGTCCAAGGAAGTTCATTGTGCCTAATCTCATACTCAACTAGGCCAGCTTCCTAACCACATCCACTCGGTGCTAGCCTTGTTTCCCATAGAGTATTCAATCACATATGTACTAGAGAGGGTTCCTTTTCTAGTTCAACCAACTCATAGTACCTCTTCCCAAGAAAGGCCTCATTTCTTAGTCATGGCCAATCAAGGTTTATAAGGATAGCTCATTTGACTTTCTTAGATAAGGATTATCATGCCATTCCGGCTCCATCCATCTCTAAGTCTATCATTTCACTCAAGAAGGGAACATCGCCCTAAGGCCCATCCTTCAAGGTTATACATTCACATTTAGGAGCCTAGACTTACTCATGAAAAGGGTACCATGCTAGGTCTAGCCTAATCAAGACATAATCTAAGAGTCCTCTTTTACCATTCATGGGAAGGGCACCATTTCTTAGTTCTAGCCCACTTCACACATTCATACATTCAAGACTTTAAGTAACAATGAGATGCACTTTAGTCTACCAACCAAGTCACAACATTATCATCCAAGGATACTTCATAATCCAACATCATCCCATATATACATCATGAGAAAAATCATACTTTAAATCACAATGCTATCCACTGTACATAGGATCA